CCTTCAGATGACTACTCGAAGTCTTGGAAGAAGAAACCTTGGCCAAACTGGAAATCTGAGGCTCAGGATAGGAAACAGTGGAAAAAGCATGCTGAGGCCTTTGTCCAACAGTGGAACACGATAGGCTCTAAATGATGATAATGATGATGATCTTATTTTAGGTATAATCAAAGCCCTCATGCAAGTAGGGGGGGGGTCATGTGCGTCCACTCCTTATACACTAGCTGCCAAGTGACCTGCAGGTACAGGTACATCACTATATAGGTCACTGAGTAATAACAAGCTACCGGACATGGCAATAATTGGTCTGCTAATCAATATATAGATCAACATCAGGTTGCACTTTTCCAAAGATAAAACTTTTATCAAATTACTGATTATCACCAGAGGATTATACTTCTTGTCGTGTCCAAGATAAATATCATAAAGATATTTATGAGGCCATATTACGTAACATATTGTCGTCCAATAGTTGAGTAACATGGCGGCCTCTTTGTACAACACCGATGTAAAGCAAATAACTCTGCAATCAAGATGTGTATCTAACGCGTCTCTGATACTTAGTAAAGGGGATATAAGGAGAGAAAGCTTTAGAGCACAGAGAAGATGGACGTGATTTAGGAGACTTGAAAGCTGGGGAATTCAACTAGAACATGTTTCTTTGTGCGACCTTAGGTGAAGCTGACACGAACCGTGGGATCTTTGATTTGCGTTTTGCGCTAAATAAGTTGAAAGCGTTATGTCCTATTTCGGGCCCACGCTTGAATTAAGCGTACTATATTTATATTAGTTTGCGACATGCATTCCATATGTAAAAAGATTCAATTCATTCAGTAAATCGTGATTTAAAAAATGTGTTTTTAAAACCTTTCTTTTTCTATTAAAACAGTTAATAAACTGAAATTTGACGTATTTTAGAAGACTTATAACATCTATAATTTTTTAATGAAAACCATCATACTTTGCATGATGTAAGAATTAAAATCAATAGATAATAGTCATATTACTTGAATATATTCCTTAAACATAATAACTACATCCAAATACTCACATGTTTACGACTTGTCAAACGGTAGGCTGGCGGCGTTGCCGGTGCTGTCGTTGTGGCCTGTTTCCCATTGCTTGACACAGGTGAAGATTTTTCTCATATACTAACCTGTACTAACCTTTTAGCTAAAACTTAACCTCTGTTTATCACATTGGGCGCAAAACTTCCATTCTTTTGACTACCATTCCCTTAATGTGGCGGATTGAAACCGTCTTCTGAATCTTCTGGAAGACGGTCAGATTTTAAAGTTTACTTTGACAGCTATCTATTTTTATCTGTCGAAAGACGGTCAAAAATGGAGGATGGATCAACAAAGATAGGCCTTATTTGGAAGACTGTCGGAAAATAACTCTGGATCCTCCCCTGATTCCTATCACATTAGCCATTCGTGCCGCTAAACATCAGTCATGATAGTGAATTTAGATAAATACTCCCACGCGCTGACTGGACCTTTAGACAAAATGTTTGACGGAGCGCAACATACAGAAGTTATTGAGAGGCTAGGATTGTAATTGCACTTTTATGTAATAAAACCACAAGCAGAAAAAAATTAATATTCTCCCAGTTTGACAACAACGTTTACGAGTAACCTGTGTGACACCACTAAAGAGTCCAGTGCACTAACCGCTCTTCGGCCCTCACGCTTGAAAATTTTAAAGAAGTCTGATCAGAGAATGATACTGAAACCAAATAAAGCGACCAATGATACACCTTCCTGCATACCCCTTTACACATCCTACAATCTAAAACCAAAAACACGGCTGTCACTTTCCCCCATCAAAATTATTTACCGACATTATAAATGACGCCATTATAAGGCACGCCACGTTAGGAGAAGTAGGACACGATAGCCATGGTTTTTAAAAACTGTATTAGTAATGTCGTGCCTATTACCATAACCATTTTAATTTATTTTTTCGTGCGGTAAGTAAGCCATTTCAGTTGCATGTTGCATGTTCTCATTGATCTAATTGATCACATCGATATCTTACAAAGAATTGAAGTATTGTGTATGGCCAAAGTACTTGAATCTTATCATATTGTGGGTTTTTTTAACCCCCCCCCCTCCCCCGCCCCCACTTTTCATATACAAGTCTGGGTTTCGTGATGGATTTTATTGTCGAACCCTATGGTAGTTTTAAATGATTGAAAATATAAGACATCTAGTGAAGTGCACAACAAATTGCTAATTTTCATATAAGTTTCCGGTACATTGCAGAAAATGAAGAATAATATGATATTCAATTAGTCCAGAACATAACAAATATATTTCTATTTCTATTGACTTGAACGACTGGAATGTCATACTTTATATTTCTTAATTAACTGCAATGTAACTCATATTGCAAGGGTCTCTTTATATACTACTGATACATGGTATAAAGCAAAACAGGCATCGAACAGCGGGAATGCGGCGTGCAGC